TATTCTGTGGAGAACCGGAGAAACGGCCATTGAAAACGATAGACAACACCCATGTCAATTTCTAATTTTTAAAAATTAGAATATATAAATTTAAATAAATAAACTTATGAGAGAAAATGTGATAATAGAAAAGAGAGAAAATGGAAAAAAAAAAAAAAAAAAAGTATCTGACCGAATTGGTCAAATTGAAGGAAGAGAATCGTGCAGTCGGTTGGGATGGAAATAAGAGAGAAAGTGGTTGATTTGGTCCGATGGAAAGAGGAGAACCGTCCATTCGATTGCGATGGAAAGATGAGAGAAAGTGACTGAATTGATCAGATGAAAATGAGAGGCTGATTTGGTCGGATGAGAAGAAGAGACTGATTTGGTCGGATGAAAATGAGAGACTGAATTGGTCGGATGAGAACGTCCAATCGGTTAAAATAGAAAGTCCAGATAAAGAAATATAATAAATTGTATAAATATATATGTATATATTTATATTATACTTTTATTTAGTTAATTTTTCTTATGTATTACTAAAAAATTTATTCTCTAAAAAATTATATATATTGATATATTTAAAAATTCTAATTAAAATTTTAAAAATTATATTTTATAAATATTAATATATAAATTTAAATAAAAATAAATAGACCATTACGAGAGAGAATAGAGAAGAGATAAAATAAAAAAATATAAAATAAAAAATGTCTAACCCAAATTCATCGGATGAAAGAAGAGAGAAATAAAGAGAATGAATTATATAAATAATTTTTTTATTATTAAAAGAATATTTCTCTACAAGAAGTGACAGATCGAATTGGTCGGATGAAAGGATGAGAGGAAGAAAGAAAATTAAAAAAGAAGTGGCAAACCAAATTGGTAGGATGAAGGATGAGAGAAAGAAAAAAAAAAAAAGTGGCAGACCAAATTGACCGCATGGAAGGATGAGAGAAAAAAAGAGAATGAATTATATAAATATATTTTAGAGAGAGAAAAGAAAAGTGTTGACGGACCTATTCTTATAAGAGAAAATAGGAGAAGAGAGAAAAAAAAAAAAAAAAAAAGGACTGAATTGATCGGATGTAAAGAATCGGATGTAAGGATTAGAGAAAGAAAGAAAATAAATTAGATAAATATATAAATCAAATTTAGCATATGCAATACATCAAATTTTAGTTTTTTTAAAAAATATTTTTTATATTATATATTTTTTTAGTTTATTTAAATTCCGCATTACTCCCTCCGTCCCGCTGCAAGGTTGCCATTGACTTTTTGCATGTTGATCTTTGAATATTAATTATTATATCAAGACGCAGTACAAATCGAGAAAAAAAAGATAAGAATATGTTTATTAGTCTCTTATACTACCAATACATTCACATTTTTAGAGTAAATTATTTAAGGATATTTTTAATGTCAAGTACAATGACGCAAAAACCAAATAGCAACCTTGCAGCGGGACGGAGGAGGTATTAAAAAAATAATTCTCTACAAAATGAAATATTGATATGTTTCAAATTTCTAATTAAATTTTAAAAATTACATTATATGAATATGAATATATAAATTTAAATAAATAAATAAATAATATGAATATAGATATTTTGAAACAAAAAAGTTTGTCTCGTATCGGAAGGATTGGAGACAGCTGTCCAGAGAGAAGTCACTTGGCCTCAGCATATATCTACCAGACTCTTCTTCAGTAGGAAATCGGTTGGCCTCAAGAGAATTGGTCTCTAGCTCATAATATAAATATATTTTAGGAAGAAAATGACAAAACAAAATATTGACCGAATTAATCTTATGAGAGAAAGAATTAGGTAAGAAAGAAGAGATAAAAAAAAAAAAAAAAAAAAAAAGAACGGACGGATAAAAAAAGAAAAGAGAGAAACAAATAGAATGAATTATATATATTTTTTTTTTATAATTGTTCAACCAATCAATTTTTACTTTTTTTAAAATATTTTTTTATATTATACATTTTTTAGTTTATTTAATTTTGTATTATTAAAAAATTTATTTTCTACAAAATAATATATATTAATATTTTCAAATTTTTAATTAAATTTTAAATATGAATATATAAATTTAAATAAATAAATAATATGAATATAGATATTTTAAAGAAAAAAAAAAAAGAAATTGCAAACCCTGGTCGACGGTCGCTTCGAAAGGAGCTAAGAATGAGGAAGTGGGTTGGCATTGGAGACAGCCGGTCAACTGGAAGTAGGTAGGTTTCAGGATATGTCTACCATACTATTCTTCTTTATAAATTGGTTGGCCTCAGGAAAATTGGTCTCTGGAGGGTTGGTCGCTGGTAATATAAATATACTTTAAAAAGAAAATAAAAAAGAAATGTCAAAAAAGTATTAGCGGAGAGACAAGAGAGAAAATGAAAACAATTGGTACCGAGCAGCAAAAAACAATCGGTAGGGAGTTTGCGATGGAACCCCAGGGAGAATTCGGGCAGTCAAGGAGTTCCTAGACCTCATCAAATTTCATCGGCGAGGCTCAATCCAAGGCGGAGGAGGACCGCATTGTGTTACGCGAGATCGAGACTCTGAAATTGAGGCTATCCAATCCGAATACTACTAAGCTCAAGCTCAAGGAGTACATAATCCGTCCAGATGCTTGGCCATGACCCCTCGTTTGGGGACATCCATGCTGTCAAGATGACGCATGATGAGGATTGGCTACTTGGCGGTGACTTTGTTTTTGAATGAGGATCACGATCTGATAATTTTGATCGTATAGAAGGATTTGAAGAGCCATAACTATTTCGCGGTTTGCGCGGTGCTGAATGCAGCGCGCAAATTGATTAATGAGAAGACGGTCCCAGCAATTCAACTTTAGGTTGTGGAGTTATTGGGTCATCAGATGGAGGCAGTGTGGAAGAAAGCTGTGATGGCTGGATCAATTTCATCAGAAGTCCCCAGGTTCCGTACCCCACCTTATTTCAAATTTTCGGAAGGTGCTTATTCTACATTTGTGCATGACTCTTTGGGTTTATCTATGTTTAGAGACATTTGAATTATTCATCTTCTCTTCAAGAAATTGGTGATGGAGTGTGCCACTTGATTCTTGAACATAGGAAATGAGATTGGATTTCTCTCAAAGCAAAATTTGAAATTGGTTTATTTTTACTCATAATTATATGTGGAAATTTTGTTGATTAGAACACAAATCAACAAATAGTGAATTGACTTGATTATTGGAAGCCAAGTTATTAATCATTTCGAATTGAAGTCTCAGCTTGATTGAGAGTGGATGTTCCAGATTTGATGTTTGAAAGGCTTCCATAGATGTGAAATAAACGAGGCCATCTAATGTTAAAGATAGGAAAATAGTCAAACAATGACTTAAAAGTTGGTGTTTTCCTTGTATTCATTTTAATTATAGGAAAGGTGTTTAGAGATGATTTTGGTTGTATGAGTGATAAATTCATGTTTACAGTCGATATCTGTATAGATATTATACTAATGTGGAAATTTATTCATTCCTAAACTTTTTTTTTTCTTTTATTTAGCACATGCTTTTGGTACAGAGACTTTCTGATAATGATCCTCGTGTCATGGGAGCAGCACTTTGCCCCATTTTTGATCTTATTCTGGTTGATCCTGATGTATATAAGGATCTGGTGGCTAGTCTTGTTAATATTCTTAATCAAGTAGTTGAACGCATACTACCAAAGAGTTATGATTATCACCAAATGCTCCATTCATTCAGGTAACCTTGGGCTGTTTTCACGGTAATTCTTCCTTTTTTTTTTTTTCCCATGCTGCTATTGGGCAAGATCAGAATAAGGAGTGCGACTGGGTTCTCGTCTTGCTGTTATTATTTTTGTCATTAGATTCATACATTGTAGTTTGTTTACATGTGGAACCTAAGCTTAGTTCTCTTGACTTTATGATTGCTGTTAAGTAATTGGGAAAATCCTTCCTCTAGACCCCACAACACACTTGTGGTATAATGCATTTGTTCGTAAGAGATAAGTGTTGTACTGAATGACTGATAGATTAGATGATATACCCTTGTTGTGTGCGCTAACTGCAGCAATTTTTAGATTGTTTTGTAGTAAAATATCAGCCTTTTAAAATTGTTATCCTGCATATTTTTTCTTTTTGCTTTACATACTTTTATTCTTTCTACTTTACATAGTTTATTTTCATGTGTTAATAGATCAAGTTGTTGAAAATTCTTTCCATACCGGGTAGCGGTAACAAAAAAACTGGCAAACAAATGTACACTACAGTGGGTGACATCATGAGACGAATCAATTCAATAAGTAACATTGGGAATGCCATTCTTTATGAATGCATCTGATGTGTTTCGTCGTTACACCCCAACCCAAAGCTGCTTGAAGCGGTTGCTGATGTCATTTCAAAATTTTTGAAAGTCTGCATTTCTTCAACCGGATGTTATTTCTTTTTAATATTCAAATTTATGTTTTTTCGATTTGAATGCTAGTTTACATACTATGGGCATAGTGAGAGCCACAATCTGAAGTATCTTTGTATTGATGCTCTTGGTCGTCTGATAAAGATAGGTCCAGAAATAGTTGAACAACACCAACAGGGAAAGGATTTGTGGCCGCAAGGTCTGCTTTTTTTTAATTAAATTTTAAAAATTACAATATATGAATATATAAATTTATATAAATAAATAATATGAATATAGATATTTTGGCTAACCGGTGGGATGGATCCAGAGAGAAATAAAGTGAATCTGTTGATGTAATTTTTCAACAAAAATAAAGTAAAATTCAAAGATATTAAAAATATCCTTAAACTTGATTAATTAGTGCCTGAGATTAGGAATCTCTAAACACTGTAACGTACAGAAAGTAAACTGGAAAATAAAAGACTGAAATTTAAAGTGGTGATCCCCAAATCTGACTTTGCTTTGTTGAAGTTGATTGAAGATGCCTTGCCAAATGATGATCCAAATCCTTAAATATTCCCTGGGAAACCGTACTGAAAACCGTCACCCGAACGGTTACAACGTCTCATTCTCAACCGTCTTCCAACCTTTCTCATGCTGACACGTGTCCCCAGCAGACCAAAATTCCCTATATTTCACTCCTTGAGCCGACCACAGACCTTCCGCTCTTTTGGCCCGACTTCGTCCTTCGTCCGACCTACTTCTTCGCCCGACCCCGCTTGGGCCGACCTCCATATCAACCGCCCCCTGTCTTTGATCAAAGGCCTCCGCGTTTGTCCGACTCCTCCTTCTATCCGACCTACAGTTTACCCGACCTGCGGATATCCCATCTCGACGACTTTCCGTCTCGAGGACCTCCCGACTTGAAAACCTTCCGACTCATCGTCTTTCCGTCTTGCGGACCTCCCGACCTGAAGACCTTCCGACTTGAGGTCTTTCCGTCTTGCGGACCTCCCGACCTGAAGACCTTCCGACTTGAGGTCTTTCCATCTTGCGGACCTCCCGACCTGAAGACCTTCCGACTTGAGGTCTTTCCGTCTTGCGGACCTCCCGACCTGAAGACCTTCCGACTTGAGGTCTTTCCGTCTTGCGGACCTTCCGACCTGAAGACCTTCCGACTTGAGGTCTTTCCATCTTGAGGGCCTCCCGACCTGAAGACCTTCCGACCTGAGGTCTTTCCGTCCTGAGGACCTACCGACCTAAGAACCTTCCGTCCTGAAGACCTTCCGACTTGAGGTCTTTCCATCTTGAGGGCCTCCCGACCTGAAGACCTTCCGACCTGAGGTCTTTCCGTCCTGAGGACCTACCGACCTAAGAACCTTCCGTCCTGTATTTTCCTTAGAAATAAATAAATAAATTTATTTTCCTTGATTTCCTCACGGTGTCCTTCAGCCAGTTCAATCAACCCTATTGCCAGGCCCATTCTTCTTTTTACCTTGGGCTTTTAACCTAATTCTAAATTTCGTACGTAACAACTTGCCCGCCGCCAAGGGACTTTCAAACGCCATTTAACAATCAATGTTTGGAAGTTCATAAAGCACTACTTCCTTAGCAACTACACCAGTTACTGCAACACTCCTGGTTAACTTCCTTCTTCGCAATACAAGCCTGTGTGAATCACAATCCCAAAACATTCTAACTATGGCGAATCAATACATTCCTGCCCTTCCTTTCGACGGAACCCTTCCAGAAGGTCCATTTTCAGCCTCGAAAGTACTAACTCCGACGATCCGTCCATATTGCACTACTCCTGAAGATTCAAATCGGATGAGGGAAGTTTTGGAATCTCGCAACTCCTTGGCTATCAACAATCCCAACTACCAAGCAGTTCGCATCCGAGACAGCATCAAGACCCATCTCACAGACCCAAAAGATCTGTATCGTGCTTGGTATCGACGAGTAGCAGAACACTGCCAGACCCAATGGCGATCCCAAAAGATCGACCAAGCAATACTACTGTCCACCATGCCTATCAACCTGCATGAGAAGGTGCTGTTGGCCATGTCCGCCTTCTGGAATGCGGAAAATGGGACTTTCCTTTTGCCATCGGCCCCCTTTGGCCCAACTCTTATGGACGTGGCCATGATCGCACATCTCCCAGTCGTGGGTGAAGACCCTGTAATGGGAGCCCTAGATGGGCAGGAGCCATCAGAAGACCATCCGGGATGGTCTTTACAAGGTGTGAAGGAATGGGGTTGGACAAAGTTCGCAACCGACCAGCAAGGGGCTCCAGGGACTCCTGTAACCGACCGGGAGCATACTGCCTTTATCCTGTTCTGGCTTTGTAGGTACGTCATTGTTTCCCCTTCCAAAAGTGTTCTTCCTTCTCACCTCGACCTGGCCATTCATATTGCGTCAGGTCGGTTCTTCTCCCTTGGTACTCTATTTTTAGCCAATCTGTTTGAAGGACTCACCAGGGTTAGCCTTCGTTTAACAGATAACGATAATAGGAAATTAGACACTGCCGCGTCGGGTCCTTTTTGGTTTTTAGAACTTTGGTTCCGTCTTTACTTCCCCAACGCGTTTAACTTAGGATCTCCGCCCACTATGCCAACATCTGAAAAACATTTAGGATTAGTCCTCAACCGACTCTGCTCAGGACGCAATAAACTCCAATCTTCCGATCCCATAATAACCGCCATTTTAACAGATACCCGCAGTAACTCTCGATTTTCTATGTATAAAAAGTATGCGGGTTATGCTCCCGACCATTTTTGGCCCTTTCCAGTACCAAACCCGCTTCCGACTCCTGAGCCTTGTCCTCATCCCACCTATCCTTTCGCCTGGGACGTCGCCCTCAAACCCAGGTCTCTTTTTAGTAGCAAGAAACTTGATAAAAAAGGGCAGAAAACTTTTTACACTTTTAACTATGAACCTCAATTCATGGCGCGCCAGTTCGGCTGTTGCCAAGGTATCCCTGGACCCGTCGCGTGTCCCCAAATAATTTTTCAAAGTCCCGACCGACGAGTCCTTCCTAATTCAATCCCTTCTTATATCTCCCAGCTCACCACGTATATAATTTCCAATTCTTATATTCCTTTCCGCTCCAACCCTGAGATCGTAGATACTTTCAATGAATGGTGGTCGGTTGTATGGTCCCTGATATCCCCTGATGAGGGTCGGTTGCTGAACATACTCCTCCCCCCCCAAGGATTGGTTCTAGGGGCGGCGAGACATACTAGCACCCAACAACAAACAACCGCCCCGGGAATCGGATCTGGTGGTCCCACGCGCCAAAGAAAAACTTCCCAGCTGCAAACACCCCCGACCTCGGAGACCGACCAGCAAACACTAGCAGACCTTGGAATAAATAGGACGTCAGCAAGGACCCGACCCCGAATTGGTAATGTTTCTTAACACCGTGAACCAATTCACTATATCGTAACTTTGATTTTACTCATTTCATTCCCCAGAACCGACCTTGGTGACATCGACCATGCAACCGACGCCAGCACCAACCGACCATTCAATCGGGCCTTTGGTCCAGACCAATTTGCCAATGAGCAGTCGGGCGGAGGACCCGACGCGGAGGCAAACTCTTCCTCCCGTACCGAGGAGTGGTCGGGCCAGGCCCCCGACCAGGAGACAATCTTTACCAGCAGTGCCTATAGAACCAGTAAGTTCCTTTATCAGCAAGACTTAGGATTCGGATGATCAACCTTAATATATTTAACAACAAACATCTTCATGATTTTTCCACAGACACCTTCACCCATCCCATCAGCAGCAGGGGTCTCTTCTGACAGCGAGGGGACTACTTCCCAGATGGGTCGGCCGCCATACATGGCATCAGACTCATCTATGTCAAAGGAAGAACCAGCCGCCCTCGCCGAAGCTGACCCTCAAAACGACATCCCTGATGCTGCTGATCCCGAAATCGAAGGTGCCCCAGAGATCCTGGCTGCAGTGGCTCTAGAGGTAGCCGTCCAACCTGCAGCCGCCCTACCAGCAGCGGCGCTCCCTCTAGCCATCGAATGGCAGGCAGAAGAACCACCTGTGGCAGCCCAACCTCCAGAAATGGAAGAAAGGTCTTCATCCGATTCGGAGACTTCTGTGAATTTGGTAAGATTAGACCAATCCATGCCATAACTTTTCTTTCGAAAAACACTAACTGTTTCAAATACTACTTTCCATAGGGACCCAGGTCGGCACCTCAGCGACCATTCGCAGCAGCCGACGAGTCGGCTGCTGTTATACCAGCTGTCTGCCCAACTCGACCGACCTCATTGCTGCCCCCCTCACTGACAGCAGTCCGCCCAGAGGTACCACATATTTTCTCCGAACAAATTTGCAACTCCCTTGGAATATTTATTGACATTGTAGGACTTGCAGGGGCCTTCGGACTTAGCTGTCCTATCGACTGTTCCGGTTCCAGCGGAGGCCCAGACTGTGTTCACTGAGGCCATTAACCGTCCCCTGTCCGAATTAAGGTCCGACTTATTGGACAAGCTCATTCAGACGGTTGGTGGCCTTCTTTATTACACTCCAACGGAATCACCAGCCGTCCCCATTCTGCATCGGCTGATGGAAAGACTTACAGAGCTCAAACTGAAGTATTAGTCATTGGACTCCTGTCAGCCGAAACCCCCCAGCCCGACTTCGATCAAACAGCGCTGGAGAATTCTTTGGCTAAGACCCGAGAATCCCTCCAGCAGACTACTGGAAGGCTGGGTGGTCTCCTTAACACGAAAGCTCAAGTTGATGAAGCTATTCAGAAAAAGGAGGCAGAATTGCGGGAGCTGAGGAAAGAACAGTCTACCCTGGATAAGCAAATTATCAATGAGCAGCGTCTGATTGAGCAGTACACCAAGAATGAAGTTGAATTGGATCAAGAGCTGAAAACCCAAGCCCGATCCCAATTCATCATAAGATATCAGACGGCTGCCAATACCAGAAGGCTATCCAGGGATGAAATCAAATGGACCCATATAAAAACTGCCCTAGGGGCACTGTTGTAATACTTCCCCCTTTGTAACAACAATTGACTTAGTAATCCATTTTTTCTTTCTTCTCTCAAAACAAGGATCACCTTTCAATTCCCAGCTTTATAGGAAACGAAACAAACTCCTTCTTTAAAAGAACACTGTTTCTCACATTTTAAGAAACACATTCTAAGGCATATTCGAAAAATCAAAACACCTGACGTATTAACAAACATGGCGAGTGACCGACCTCATGTTCCATCAAGCAACTGGGAAGGTGTTCTCCAACCCTTCTTTGTGGGTAATCACCCTATTGGAGGCCATGCAGAAGACTTGTTATATATACTCAAGCAACTAGACTTCAAATTCCGATTCTCCCAACGAGGTAGAAGAACTATTCATCGCGTCATCCGCCTGATGGAAAAAATCATTGAGGGATATGAACCTCTTCGTGACATCCTCAGCCGCATTCCTGATCTCCATCATCACATGGAAATGATTGAAAATCATGCAGCAACCATACTTCCAGACCTTGGTTGGGATAACATATTTTCCAATCAACGAAAAGTCTTTTCAAGATTGCGTACCATTGTTGACCGTGAACATCAAGCCCTAACAGACATGCAAGCACGTACCCATCAAGATCTAGATGACATGCAAAGCCAATGGGAAAGGTACCGACCAGACTTGGAAGATCTTATTGAAGAAGAACCAGAGCTAATATCCACTCACTGGGATGAAAAGTCTGATTCAGAGACAGAAAATTTCTCACAACTACACGATGACTAACAGAAATGAACCTTCCAGTAGGTTCGAACCCCATAAATGGGTTCTGAATAATATTTTGTTTCAGGCAGTTTTGTTATCTGAAAAGGCAGGATAATACCTCTTCAGATATTTAGCATTAATACAATCATGTACTCTTCTACCTTCATGATTTACAATAATGAACGCGCCATTTCCAATATCTTTTTGAACAATGTATGGTCCTTCCCAATTCGGTGACCACTTTCCCAATTGATCAGTTTTCTTATATATAGGAAGAATGGTCTTCCAAACCAAGTCTCCTTTCTGGAACGTCCTGTGGAGAACTTTCTTTCCGTAACTCCTTGCTCTGATTTCACTCTGTTTCACACTTCGCCCTATTGCATGGAGTCGGTTAACATCCAAATCTTCTAACTGTTGCATCATAAGTTGTTGGTATTCCTCTGTAAGACCACTATCAGTAAATTCTGTTCGGCCAGATGATACTCGGATTTCGGCTGGTAAAACAGCATCTTGGCCAAATGTAAGTTGGTAAGGTGAGAACCCTGTGGCCGTACTTCTGGTATTCCTATGTGCCCATAAAGCCTGAGACAATAACAAATGCCACTTTCTCGGGTTCCCTTCAACCATCTTCTTTATAATC